ATCTTTGGATATCTCTCTTCTGCCCCCCTTAGAGCTCTATTACAGTAGTACACTAGTTGCTGAGCTATGTCTCCCTCCCTAACTAGTACTGCACTGGTTGAGAAATCCAAGATAGCTAAATAAAGAGTAAGCACTTCCCCTTCTAAGGGACTTACCAGGACAGGGGGAGAACTTTGGTACTCCTTTAGTGCTTTGAACGCTTCCTCACACCGGGTGTCCCACTGAAAAGCCTTATTTAAGACCTGAAAAAAAGGTTGGCACTTGTCACTTGATTTGGATACAAAACGATTCAAGGTGGCTATCCTTCCTATCAGGTGTTGGATCTCCCTGATGAGTCTACCTCTCTAATGGCTTTGGCGTGGAAAAGTTTACTGACCTCCTCGTTAATTACCTTTTAACGTTTTGGAGCAAAACTTCTCCGCTTCTGTTTAACAGGTTTGTAAATAGGATTCATGCTTAGCTTGTGTGTGATGACTGATGGGTCAATGCCTTCCATGTTCTCTTGCTTCCAAGCGAACACCCTCATGTTCTTCCTTAGGAATTGGGTGAGTAGGTCTTTCATTTTTTTGCTCAACTTAGATCCCACGTAAACAATATTATCAGGCTTCTCATCAAGCTAGACTGGCTCTAGCTTTTCTGATGGTATGAGCCTACTGTCCAGCTCGTCCCTCATGTCAAGCTCATCTAACTGGATAGTTTCAACCTCTTTTCTACTTCACCGAGGCCATGTAGCACTCCCTGGCTATTCGCAAGTCTCCTCGGACCATTCCAACTCCATTTTCTGTAGGAAATTTTACGACCAGGTGATATGCTGAAGGGATAGCCTTCATTGCGTTGAGGGATGGTCTCCCAAGTAGTATATTGTACGCAAAGGGACATCAACTACCAGTAATTTCACAATGGTGGTGGCTTAACAAGGAGGGTCCCCCATAGTGAGCACGAGTTAGATGGATCCCAAGGGTAGCACCCTTTCTCCTGAGAACCCCATAAAGTGAGCACTCACTGGCTCAAGCTTCATCATTTCTATGTCCATTTTGTCAAAGATAGAGGCGAAAATGATGTCGGCCGAGCTCCCATTGTCAATTAGAACTTGTTGAACAGTTTGTTTAGCCACAATGGCCCTTACGACCAACGGGTCATCATGGGGATACTGACAGCCTTCCAAGTCTAAATCCAAAAAAGTAATGATTGTGCTCAGCCGAGGTATTTTGGACACGGTGTGTACTTCCAGCACTTTGCCAGCTCTGATCCTACGCAGGTGTACTTTCCTGGCTGCACTGGATTCCCCACCGCCAGCAAATCCTCCAGATATCACTCTGATCTCCCCTAAGGGTTGTTGGTGCTGTGCAGGGGCTTGTTGCTGGGGGTGCAGGTGGTGGTGGAGCCCTATTCTGGTTGTCATGGGCGACAAATCGTCATAACTGTCCCCTCTGGATCAAGAACTCGATCTCCTTCTTTAGGTGAATGTAATCGTTGGTATGATGACCATGATCCCTATGATACTCGCAATATTTTGTAAGGTCTCTTTTAGACGGATCTGCCTTCATTCGTGGAGGCCACCTTAGGAATTTTTCGTTCTGCACCTCATATAGGATCTGGGACACTGTCACAGTGAGAGGGGTATATTGCTGAAGTGCATACCTCGACTGTAGTTCAGGCTGTGGGGGGGCTAAGTGGTCCCTAACGTTCCCCCTTCTTTTTTGGGGATCGCTTTTTATCTCTTCTGGGAGATCTATCTCTCTTTGGAGATCTGTTTCTTTCCCTTTCTCTCCTAGGACTTCAGTTCCTTTTTTTCTCTTCCTTTCCCTTGTCTCTATGTACGGAAAAGCTCCCTACCTTAGAAAGAAGAACTTCTTCGTTGTTTATGTATTTCTCCGCTTTGGCAAGCACCTTGGCCATGCTTGCTTGGGGATTTTTTGATATGAAGAACATCAAATCTTTAGAATGCACCCCTAGACCAGCTATGAAGGCAGTGATGATGAACTTTTCGTCTGAGACATCCACATTTAACAACTTCAAATTAAATCTTTGGACATATGACCTGAGATTTTCTTGTGGTCCCTATTTTCACATTCAAAAGTTGATAACTTGACTTTCTATAGGTTCGAGCCCCTATGAAGTGGGATACGAAGAAAATGGAAAACTCTTTGAAGGAAAAGATTGAGGCTGGGGGGAGCCTGTTAAACCACGCCAAGACTGAACCCTTCAAAGTGATGGCAAAGGCTCGACAATGTACGAGGTCCTAGTACTCGTGCAATTCCATCTGATTCTTGTAAGTATTGAGGTGGTCCATGAGGTCCCTGGTTCCATTAAAAGACTCTATCTGTGGCATCTTGAACTTTGGTGGGAGGGAAAAATGCAACACCCTAGGTGTGAATGGAGATTCAGTCTGCTGCACCAAGACGTCCATTGTAACTGGAGCTTTACTTCTGACAGCTTCCTTCATGTGGCTAAGCTCCTGTTGGATGCCCTTAAAGCGTTGCTCCCAATATTGCTCCTTTCTCTTCTACTGATAAGGAAAAACATCATTCTTTTCACCTTCATGGTTTTGACTTTGTACTTCCTCATTGTGGCCGTTCCTAGGGGGTAATTAGGGAACTTGCCCTAAAGTTTAGCTATTCTCCCCTCCTTCGTTGTCTTCTCTAAGTGAATCAAGATGTTGTTGATCCCTGTAATGGAGACTGTTCTGACCTTTTTGGGGCGGTCGTGCCTCCTGTGGGCACTGTAAGAGCTTCTCGTTTTGCTTTATCAAGCGCTGATTGACGAGGCGAAGGGCCTTTATCTCGTTGTTTGTGGGGGGATTCCTCGTGGAAGGATCAGTTTCTAGGACGTTCTCAGGCTGTTTGCCATTGGTGGCTCCCTGTTGGTCCTGCATCCGAGATGGGTTTGTTTGGCTTCTGTTTATGTTTCATGTTGACACCATTAGTCACTAAAAGATCAACTTTTTTGTAACAGGAATAGTCGTTCCCACAGATGGCGCCAAACTGATGGTGTAGACTAATGTGAGTGAACAGAGTGCGTGGGACTAACAGTGAAGTTAGGCTGCCAACTTCGTAATGGTAGTGATGAAGTGTTTCTTAGGGGATAGAGGAATTTGCACAATAGGAATATAATGGTTCACCGGCTCGGGAGCTCGGCTAATCCACTCTCAAATGGAGGTTCTTGCTCCTTTTCTTCCCTATTGATTATTTGAATGTAATACAAGACAATGCAAAATCCAATTAGCGTTCTTCTTTTGCTTTCCCTCTCAATGAGACGTTACATAGTATTTATGAGGCTGCCCCCTCTTTTGTGGAATTTCAATCGAGATCTTTGCCAATTATTTATGGGATTCTTCTTGATTTTAAGAGAGAATCTTGGTTGATTGAGAGTTTCATGCATGTGGTCCAATTTTCGCAATCATCCAACTATTTTCTAGTCGATTCTGCTACGATCTCCCTGAGGGGAGCTCCACCATGATTCTCTGAGTTTCTCGTATTTTTCCTGACCTCCTGACCTGAGCTCACAATTAAGACTTGTTTAAGGTATTATCAATAATAGACCCCAATTATTAGATTGGGCAAACTTTTACCCTCTCTATTTTCTCACACTTCTTTGGACTAACAACCTGTTCACCTCGGCCATACTTGTGTCCTAAAAAAAACACAAAAAGGTTCGTCACCTGTATATACTTGGTCAATATATAGCAACGTAAGAGACTACTCCTATCACCTCCCTATATAAAGGCCTTGACATTAAGGGCACTTGTACGAGGACAGCCCTGAAACTTACCCTTAAGCGGGTCCCCCCTCCTCTGTATCTCTTACCGTGAATCTCCACAACGACAGCTCCAAAGGGAACGAGACAGAAAAAGAAAAGAAAAAGAAAAAGAAAAAGAAAAAGAAAAGAAGAATCGAGCCTACCATTTTCACCAGGTGGTCTCTCTCTCTCTCTCTCTCGATCGATGAATGCTGGTACGGTCCCGAGAATTTCGGATTCAATATTTTTGGCATTTTTTGTTGTAATTTTGAGTGGATTTCTTGATCATAAACCATAGAATCTTGTTTTGCTTTACCTAGGGTTTGAAAATTAATATGATTGCTTGATTGTGTGTTCACTTAAAATTTGAATTTTGGGAAATTCTCGTGTTATTTTCTGGGTGGATTAAGAAGCGTTTGGGATGCTTAAAAGAATGTCACAAGCTTTGATTTTGGTATTTTCTTGGGATGATTACACAGCAAGAAATTGCTCTTACTGTTAGTCTTACTTTGTTATTGGGTCAAAACGCCAATGCTTTGTGTATAAGTCAATGAGGTCGAAGAAGTGAGTGCTTAATTTTTAGTTCTTTAACTCGTGNGCAAGAAATTGCTCTTACTGTTAGTCTTACTTTGTTATTGGGTCAAAACGCCAATGCCTTGTGTTAATTTGAGTTTGTGTATAAGTCAATGAGGTCGAAGAAGTGAGTGCTTAATTTTTAGTTCTTTAACTCGTAGACACTGTAGATCATTGCTGTTACCGTTAGATATTAGAGGTGCAGTTTTTAATTTTGGGATCAGTGGCTGTTGGTAATTGATATGGCAGAATTGGTTCTTAAAGCTCTAAATTTTAATTCATGGGCATTGTAGATGTTTTTGGTGTGTATAGCTACTGAGATTTTGAATATTTTTGGCTGATCCTTATGCAAATAAATGTTGGGTCCCTTTCCAGGGGCAGAAAAATATTTTAGTGCTTCAAATGCTTAAACAATTTGAGAGTTCTGATTTTCTTGGGATTTTAACTCTGTGGCTATGGCTGTGTTTGTATATGTTGGATTGGCATTGTACTTTTAGCTCTGTGTGTGTATGTTGAATTGATGCAGTATATTTATGAAGTCATAATGTTTTAATTGCCATAAAGTCTGTTTTTTGTTCTTCCCATTGCAGGTTAAGAGTTCTGCCTTAGCATTAACCTTCCCAGCTTGAATGTGGTGAATTATTGTGATTGAGAATAAGTTTTTGACCAGATGATTTACGGTTGATTCCAGATCATGGTTCTGGAGTGTTAAGTGGTTCCTGAAAGTTTAGCTCTTTTTACTGTTTTCTTTTGGGTTGGTTAGATTACTGCATCAGAAGTAGTGCATTTAGTCTTAGTAAAATGAATTTTTAAGGGGGAAAACCCTTTTGTAGACATGTGGTCCAATAATTGAATTACAGTTATGGCAGGAAATGAGAGATTTGAATTAGCTTCATCCAGTTCTGTGTGGGGTTTTACGGCCAATTATCCAGATGGGCCGAGGGGGAGTTTCTCTGGCCCAAATTTCGATAGGTCTGGTAGCTTCAAAGAGAGTGCTGAGAGCCGGATGTTTGGTTCTGGGATGGGCACGTCGCGGGGGAGTGGTTCACTGACTGGGGATTTGCCCCCATTTCGACAGAGTCTGATGCTGGAGCCGATTGTAATGGGTGAGCAAAAATACACACGATCAGGCGAGTTAAGGAGGGTTCTCGGCATTTCTGTTGGCTGTACCTCGGAAGACAATTCATTTGGAGCTACTCATCTCAAGCCTTCCCCAGCTGTGGCTATGGAGGATCTGAAGCGTGTCAGAGCAAGTATTATAGATACCTCTATCAAAGCCAGGTCTTTAATCATTTTTCTTTCTATTCCTTTTGAGATACAAATATAATATTGAATGCTGAAGATATAAATTTTATGACCAGGGGTAGAACAAAGAAGTTGGAAGAACTCTTACACAACTTGGGCAAATATCACGAAGCTGTGACCTCTAAGAAGCAGAGGCGGAATGAGCTATTAAAAATCGAACGATCAGGTGGGTTGAACTTGAAGATGGGAATCCAGATTCAACGAACTTCGCCAGAACTTGTAACTCAGAAATTGGATGATCGGCCTAAGAATGTTGGTCTGAATAAGCGTGTACGCACATCAGTAGCAGAAACACGGGTTTGTAGTTGATATAATGCTGCAGTTTGATCTCTACTGACATTTTTGAAACTATCTTTAATTTTAGTTTTTCTAAAAAGAAGCTTCCCATTTTTGTATTCTGAACTTGTCCTTCCGTTATACTCACTACCTGCATTTCTGTAATATGTGATACACCACTTTTTGTATTATTGCAAGTTGGAAAGCACCGTGTTGTTTTTGATTTAGTTTTTGTTTTGACCCGCCATTATGTCAGACATTGTGTCCACCTTTGATTTGGTTATTGCTTTTGTAATGCTTTCGTTGTTGATAAAATTAATGTTTTTATCGAAAAAAAGGAAGTGTCTTATATAGATGATGTATTAATCATTAAAGAAAACTGAACTTAAAAGTCATTTATTGAAATTTTAAAATGCCTTTTTTCTCATGTGTATAAAAAAAAAAAATGAACGAACCAGTTTATGTGTTGTAATTCTTATAATCAAGAAAAGTATCACAATCAATCACCTCAGTTGTAAGACCAGTGCCACAAGGTATTCATTTTTCATGGGATATGCTGATGCTTTATCGTGGCTCAATCTTGTCAACCCATAGTTATCATACTTTGGTTGCTAAGAGTGTCATTTACTTGAGGTCCATCTCGTCACCTAGAAGGACTTGCTACTACTCATGTTATTCCATATTATTTCAGGCAGAATGCCGAAGTAATAACTTATCAAGGCAGTCTCTGGTAACGACAAAAGACCGAGATATGCTTAGGGATTCTGGTACAGATTCTGATCTGATTGAAGAAAAAATTCACAGACTGCCTGCAGGAGGGGAAGGGTGGGAAAGGAAAATGAAAAGGAAACGTTCAGTAGGCACAGTCACTACGAGATCTATTGATAGTGATGGGGAATTGAAACAAACTACACATCACAGGCTTAGCAGTGAACCTGGATTTCAATCTTGTGGTGGCCAGAGTTTCAGGTAAGTGTTTTATTGGAAGATAAGCTTTATTTTTATGTTAGTCATGTTCTGCTGTTTTTTAGCCTTCCTCTCTCCATTTTTCTTTAACCTTGAAAATAATTCTGAAGGGGATGATTGGTTTTTTTGGAAATCAGATGCTTTCTTCGTTAATATTAGGAAGTAATTTGAAATCAAATAAATAATGGTTCCATTTCCAACTCAGCTGTGTAAAAACATGCCCATGCTTTTTGAAAATGAATTTAGACTAAATCTTTACTGGGGTAGCTGCATTCGACTGATATAAAGTGGTATACTACTGCAGAACATAAAAGTAAGACACTGACCTGTTTGAACTTTTGTTGAAGCATTTAACATTAACCAGTATGTCATTTGCTGCAATTTTTTTTTTTGCAAGGGACATAAATTTTATTAGATAAAGAAAAGATTACAATATTGTGGACAAGAAACGCATCTAATGAAAAACAGAAAGAAATGAAAAAAAAACTTGGAATATTTAAAGGTATTCATTTAACAACATGCCGGGGCCCAATATAGATTAAGGGGTGAAAAGTGCACGTCCTCAAAACTCGTTAGTAGCAGCCATCCAAAGGCAAGCCAAAAACTTTACTTTTTCCCAATTAAACTCCAAATATTCCTCCCTACCTTTGAAATTCTGTTGTTCCTTTCCATCTATATTGTCCAAATAATTGCCATAACCATACATTTCAACTAGATATAAGCTCTACATTCCTTCCCCAAAACACTATGATTAGCTCGAATGAAGAGACACTATGAAAACCTCTTGGAATTATCCAACTGAAGCTAAACTCTCCGTAAGCTTTTAGTACAATGGGTAAGTAGGTGACACACCGATGGCGTAGCCATAGAATGGTTGGACAAGTGTGACTGAATCTAGATGCCTAGGTGGATGGCTAAGAGTTTTGGTCCAAAGGGAAATGTACCGGGTAGATTTGTTAAGATTTTTATTTGTCATTTTTATTATTTATTATTTGAATTTTTAGTTAGATAGTATTTATCAGATTGAGATTAGTAGGGATAAGTTGGTAGAGTTTTAGTAATAGAGTAATTCATTTATGGTAGGACACTTGGTCTATAAATAAGGCTGGATTCTACATTATTAGTTAATATTAGTTTGAGAATTCTATGCGGAGATTTGTATTTCTTGACCAAATCCTTGCGAGGATTGGTTATCCCTTTTCTTTTCCCTCACTCTCTGCATCAATTGGTATCAGAGCACAACTCAGATCCATTAGTCTTTCTATTGCTTCCCCATTCTCTGGCTCCTGTTACTGTTCAGTAGCCCTTTCCTGTCATCACCATTATTATCATCATCACCAGTAGCCCTTTCCACGAGCTCAAATTCAAGAAGAACCCATTTCGTTTGATATCGATAGAGGAGTTAAGGTAGAAGTTGGATATTTTAACGGGGTTAATAATCTCGAAATATTCCTTGATTGGTTGCATAGCATTGAAAGCTTTTTCAGATGATATCGTTTGACCGATGAGAGGAAGGTATTCTTTGTAGAATCAAAATTGAAAGGTAAAACAAGACTTTGGTGGGTAAAGTACCAACGAACTCACTGATGGGGACAAATGACAACAATTTTATAAAGTTAATAAAAGGCGAAGGAAAGATGCTTCCAAGACCCAAGCGTTAATTTGACACATATTGGATGTTGCGGAGCCTACTTGAGAGCTTGCATAAGCATAAAAAGAGTCTTATTTTAGTTTCTTTGATTTAGTTTGATAGTATTAGTGTTTTATGTTATTTTTTTATAATTTTTAGAGTGGGGATACATCTTACTGAATTCGAAAGGTCGACTATGACAAAAATGTAGTTATCCCCCCTCCTTTAAGAGATAGGGCAATCATCCTATGAAATCTATGGGTATGCTTTTCCCATTGCTAGGAAGGCATTGGGCAGATAAAGCCCCAACTTCGTCTTGGATGGCTTCGACATTCTGCATAGAGCACACACAACCCATCACCGCT